GTTTAACACATTGGAGTTTCTATTTATAGAAACAAACTCACACAAATTCTCCAGTGAACAGTGGCCATATGAACTTGCTCCTGAGCGCCCACCAACCATTGTCACCTGTCGCTTTTAATATAAATATGGATTCCTACCAAGATGCCAGGGCATGGTAAATTCACACATTCACTCACCCCACTTCTGCTCTAATCTATAATAAGCCATCAGAAGAGGCAGTGTAATATGCAGCTGGACTCAGAAGCATGATAAATATGCCCGTGGAACAGACAAGTAATGACTAAGGCTGAGTGGACCCACCAGACTCTCCATCCAGAGACAGACAATGACAACGGGAGAGAGAGAGAGAGAGAGAAATGAACCTTACATTTAAAATGAGCCTGTATGCCAAAATTCCAAACCACATGAAAAAATCTAAAGTCAATAGAATGAATGAAGTCTACAGTTAGAACATGGATGTTCTATAGATGAAGTAAATGATCTGAAAGAGTCTGACAAGGAATTTGAGTTAGCATGTTTAAGATGTTCAAAGTTGGGGCTGGGGTTGTAGCTCAGTGATAGAGTGCTTGCCTAGCACGTGTAAGGCACTGGATTCCATCCTCAGCCCCACATAAAAATAGATAAATTAGATAAAGGTACTATGTTCATCTACAACCAAACATATTTTTTTAAAATGATGTTCAAAGTCAGCTAGGTTTATATCCACTAAAACTAAACAAGAATAAATATGTTTTAAAGCTGAATTCAAACTATTATCTTGAAGTAGGTACAAATAAAGCAAAAAAAAATGAATGTGAAAAAAATAATTAAAAATCTTGAAAAACAAAAAATTTGGAAGTCATTCTAAAAATGACCTCTGAACTTGATACACACAATACTCCTCAATGCATACAGTTATTGATCTCTAAAAACAGATTTTGAGACACCACATATGATTAATAGGTTCAGAAAAAAGAATAGAAAATGGTAAATTTCATATAATTAAATTTTTAATTTTTTATATGAAGATGCTCTATAAACAAAGCTAAATAATAATAATTCTACAACAGATACATAATAAGAAACCAACAAAAAATGTAAAGCTAGTAGATAGAAAGATTATTTTTAAACAAAAGAAAAATTATATTAACTTGAAACTTCTCAGCAGTAATAGTTACTGAAGACAGGTGAATAAAGTACTAAAAAAAAATTAACTGTAATATACACTTTAATACCCAGTTAAACTACTTTTTAAGACTAAGAGGAAACTAAAATTCTTTATAGTTAAGTATAGATTAGGTGTTTAACATCCTCTGAGTTTTAAGAGAACTATTAATAGAACCTAGAGCAGATTCAAAAAGCAGTAAGAAAAAAAAAGGTAAAGTAAAATGTCAATAAATTTAATTGACTGCTTACTTTTTAAAACAATTTTGTGTTTTAAAATTAAAATGATAGGCAGCATTGTCAGGCTGGAGAAGGGAAGATTTCAAAGAATAAAATATTTTATAATGCTCAGGACTATGATAGAAATACTACATGTCTCTTAGCTTTTGTTATAAAAATCTACAGTTAATATATGTGTTTTTAAAAGTAAGGCTCATGGCTAAAATAATAGATCTACAATAGTTCAAATAGTTCAAAACCAGTAGTGATCAATATGACCAAAAATCTGTTGTTAAAAAAACTAGGAAATGTTGTGCGTGCGGTGGGGCACGCCTGTAGTCCCAGTGGCTCAGGAGGCTGAGGCAGGAGAATTGAGAATTCAAAGCCAGCCTCAGCAATAGTGAAATGCTGAGCAACTCAGAGAGACCCTGTCCCCAAATAAAAAACAAAATAGGGCTGGGGATGTGACTCAGTGACTGAATGACCCTGAGTTTAGTCCTCAGTACCAAAAAACAAATTATATATATATATATATATATATATATATATATATATAGAGAGAGAGAGAGAGAGAGAGAGAGAGAGAGAGAGAAAGACATATTTAATATACATATATGAAAATATAAAAATCTGTATATATAAAAATTAATAGCAAAAAAATGAGGAGAAGGAAGAAAGGAAGGAAGGAGGAAACAATTTTAGAAAATGAATCTTATCGTTGAATAAAGGATTTAAGTACAGAAAAATTAAAACTTGTAGGAGTCATAATTTTATGCTAACAAGTTTGAGACAGAAAAAGCTTATAGAAAACCTAGAAAAATATGAAGTACCTTCTTCTCCAGAAGAAATGAAAATATTAGCAGTTTAAAATTTGAATATATAATCAAATATCTCATCACAAAAAATAGTAAATTTAGAAAGGCTTACAAATATTTACTAAAATATAAGGAACTGAAAAATCCCTAATAATCTATTTCAGAGAGTAGAAAGAAAAATATGGCCCAGTTCATTTTATGAGGCTAATATGATCCCCAAATCTGGCAAGAACAAAATAAGAAAATACAGCAAGGAACCAATCTCATTTATGAACCCAGTTGTACGAGTTCTAAATGAACAAACAAAACTAGCAAATCAAAATCAGCATTAGATAAAATATAGAAATGCATATTAATGAAGATGAGTTATTTTCAGGAGCGCAAAAAATGATTTAAATTCAGAAGAGGGATAATATGATCTATCATGTTAACAGATAAAAAAAACACACTGTATGATATAGAAAAATGATTCAGTTAAATAAATTCTTGTTCAGGGTGCTAACCTAGACATCAGGAAGTTCTTAAGCCAATAAAGGGTATCAAAAGATATATATACAACAAATATCATAATTATGGCATTCCATTAGAGTCATTCTCTTTTGGTAAAGAAAATTAAGAAAATGATACTGGTAATTATTGTGACATAAATATATAATCTATGAAATTTCAGGAAAGGGTTTTGGAAGAGTAATAGAGCAGATTGTCCCTATCCTCTTATCAAAACAGATTAAGAAGCAACAATAATTAAAGTAATTTTGTACTGTTAAAGAAATAGAATCAAAATAGAATCCAGAAATAAACCTAAACATGAAATAAAGATCAAGTTAGTAAAGAAGAGATGGATTACTTAATGAAGAGTATAAAACACCTGGCTAAACATCTGGAAAGAAAATCAAGTGGCATCAGTAAACCCAAATAAATTCCAGATGGATCCGAGACTTTAAAGGGACAAAAGCATAAAAGTTACAGGAAAGAATACAGGTGAACTTGAGATCCTGAAGAGGACACACTTTTTAAAATAAACATAAAGACCAGAAGCCACAATGAGAATATCAATAAATTTGGCTATATACAAACCAATAACACTAAACAACCCAATACAAAAATAAGAAATGCAAAAACATCATGTGATATCAAAAGTCATCATCTATTGGTAATAATGCAAAAGTTTGAGAATATAAATTCCTGGCAAGGGATTCTCTCATTGTGCTTTGTAAGAATACAAAGAATGTAATTTTTAGAGGACAATTTGGTAATAACTATAAAAAATTTAAATGCACATATTTTGTATCCAGTGTTCCAGCGAGGAGGAATTTGTAGATATGCACACACATACACGGAGATACTTGTTTAAGCATTATTTTTAAATAGACAGAAAAGTCACATATATGGCAAAGAGAGGGCTGAATTTTAAAAGAATAGTGTACCCAAAGGTGGATTACTACATGGCCTTAAATAAAAGGGGACAAATCTGAACAAACAGGTACAAAAGCACCTGCAGTTATCATTCTCGAGTAAAAACATACCAAGTGCAGAGAAGTGCACTTTAGTATGAATATTTTGAGTAAAAAGAGGCAGAGAAAGGGATAGAGATGTGGATGGATTATATATATTGAATTAAGTGTATTTTATATATAAATTTTGATGGCATATGCATGGAAAAGTTTTCTGAACAGATACTTTGGAGATGACCTACTGAGAGCAGTGAGGATTTATTTTCATCTTATGGCTTCCTGTTTTTTAGTTGAATTTGCTAACCACATGGTAAATTTTTTTTTAATTTTCATATCCCTCAAGGGTGACTCAGGTGGTAGATTTGTGGGCTACTCATTTTCTTTATATTTTAATAAATTTTTCAGCTAGTTCATGGCCCTTGTATCTATGCTTTATTTTTTCTTTGTTAGATAGAATTTAGATTGCTTTCTGTGCATCCTCTTGCAGAGGTGAACCCCAGGAATGTTACCAAATGAGGGTTCCGACACTCTTATCTGTTTAGCCTATTTGCTCGTATCAGCTTAGAGATTGATAGACTGTTACAGAGCAAAGAAATTGTGTCATGTCTAGTGGTACTTTTCCCCCAGGGATCAAGAGACCCCTTAAAAATGCTGATGTTGATGGAATATTTGTGTACAATACTAATAATAATGAAATATCATTATCAAAAAATGATTTGCCTATATCAACTGATATTTCTAGTAAACCTATTTCTTTTCACTTCTCCTAAAGTAACTATTGGGAATGACTTTCGGCTCATGGAGAACAATGATTGTGTTTTTGTTTTGTGTCCTTAGACGCCAGCTCAGTGCTGAGCACAAATTGGATGCTCAATGAATATTGGTGGGAAAAGATAAATTAGAAGCTAAGGACTTTTCTTACTTCCAATTAGCAACATGTTTGCATCAGGAGATTATCTCAAGTGTCATATTTATTGATTTAACAAGCACAAATTGAGCATTATTTTATACACAGCTGTTTTTTGGAATAACAGGCCTCAAACTGTTTTGCAAATATAGGATACCCAATATTTTATTTTGCAATATAAAATAATTGTAAAATATTTTCTGTAGTCTGTTTTCACTACCATGCTTTAATGAAAGGGCACTGAGTAGCCCTCTCCAAATAGAAAGGCTATAATCTTAGATTAAAAACCAGTCTTTCGGGCTGGGGGTGTGGCTCAGCAGTAGAGCACTCGCCTAACACGTGCGTGGCCCTGAGTTCGATCCTCAGCACCACATAGAAATAAATAAAATAAAGGTATTATGTCCAACTACAACTAAAAAAATAAATATTTTTTAAAAACGGTCTTTAAATAAATAAATACGATAAGCTTTCCCTTTTTGTTTTATTTATTTTCACTCAGTGCCAAGTTCTACAAAATGCCAAGGCCAGGGCCATACCCCAAGCAAATTAAATCACAACCTTTGGGGTGAAGGGCAGCAGGAGTGGGTCCAGGTTTGGGGAGAACTTCTTAAAATGAAAAACGTTACAAAACAAAATTGCCAACCAAAAAGAAAAAGAAAAAAAAAATCCCAGGCTTTGAATTTTTTTAAATCAAGAAAGAAACCTTACAAATTGCCAAAACCCAGGCCTTTCACTTCTGAGATCTCCTGGATTGTCCTGATTGCAACCTGGCTTCCTCCCCTCTCCATCTAGAATACTCTATAACTCCCAGCTCTCAAAGAGCACCATGCAAATGAGATCCTGAAGCTTGAGTCTCATTGGTTTGAAGGTAAACCCTCCTCCGGTCCTAGGCATGTCCATTTTATAAACTCTCCACCTGGTTCTCACAAGCAGCCTGATCAGGACCACTAACTTCTATACAGCAAATAATGAATACCCTCCACTGGGCAGAAGCTGTTTCAAGGTGGTGGATCCGCCCTCAGGTTTCAACATCTCTCACCACTCGCACACACCCTTGAGCTGTGTCCTCGTGGAGTACGAGCCTCCACCTTCCCTCCATGAACCATCGAATGTCTATTGAAGGACCTGCTGTGGATTTGACCCTGCGCTATGAGGGCTGCAAAATTCAGACCCTGCCCTGAGATGAACTCTGCGTAGAGGAAAGTTCACCAAGAGCAGTTGGGCTTCTCTAGCCACCTCCCTGATTGCTGCTGTTTTGCCTTTTCTGGGCTCCACACTTCTAGGCATATAGGTGGGATTTGACAAATCCTAGAAAAATAAGTTGCATAAAAACTTTCTTCAATGAGAACCTGGACTACCAGGGTCCAAAGTGATTTTTAAAATTAATTATAGCATGATGCTTAGAATAACTAAGATTTTTAAGCCACTGTGACTTGCCTATGCTGATGGCAATGCAAAATGGTGCATCCTCTTTGGAAAGTATTTGGCCGGTTTCTTTCTCATAGAGCTTCACACATGCACAAAGATCAAGCAGGCCCACTGCTAGGAATCAGTGGAAGAGAACTAAAAATATATGCCCACAAGAGATTTGTACATGAATGCTCAGAGCAGCAGCATTCCTAGTAGCTAAAGGTGGAAACAATCCAGATGTCCATCTGCTGGGAAATAAACTTGGCACGTCCTTACCAAGGAGTACTACTTATCCATTAAAAGGTACCAATTGCTGGTACTTGGGGCACCATGGGTAGATCTCTTTAAGTGAAAGGGACCCTCACACCAACAAAAAGTACTTACAGATTCTACCTATAGGACATTCTGGGAAAAGCAGAATTATAGAGACAAAACTCAGATCCACTGACACCTGGGCTGGGCGAGTGAAAGGGCATCTACAAGAAAAGGGCGTGAGGAGGTTTTAGACAGTAGAGCCACTCTGCACCTGGATTATGGTGGTGGCAACGTGATTGTTTACATTTGTCAAAAATCATTCAACCAGACACTTTAAAAGGGAGAATTTTCCTGAATGTAAATGATACTGTAATCATCCAGACTTAAATTAAAAACAATAATAATAATGATAAAACCTAAAGTACTTAAATGACAACTACCAAATTAGGACAAAGGGTGCTTTCCTGGAGTACAAACAGGTGCCAGGCTAGAGGGTGCGGCTAGGAGGAAACAATAACCAAAGAACTTGCAACCCCAAAGTGGGGTGAGCCCAGGTCTTTATTCCCATCCCTGTGTCCACGTGGCTTCTTGTCCCCAGTGGTAGGCACTGCGATAAGCCGGGCCTCTGAACATCTGTGGCAAGTTCCTGGGCCCACCCAGTTCGTAGGTGCCCCACTGAGTAGCAGCTTGGGCTGCCCGCTGCTTGCTGCCCCCCTTGGCAGGAAGCTTGCATTCAGTGAGAGCAACCAGGCCCCGGTCCAGGCCTCCCCTGGGTCTCCATGGTTATCCCTAAGCAAGGGGAGAATGCAGTGTTTCGGGTTGCACCAACCCCTCATTTTAAAACAAAAGTCTGATGAAAGGGCAGGTGTGGCCCGGAGCCCTCTGTGATTAGCTGTAATTCTTGGCAGAGTGCGACATGCTTATTCTTCTGCATTAGCACAGAGCACAAGGCATTTACCACGGTGCTAATTGCTATTGGATGAAAACAAGCAGTCCCAGTATGTGGGCACGAGGCTCGACAAAACAGATGCCAGAGCCATTCAGAGCCATGCCCTGCACCGTGCGCTGTGCCGGGGGCTGAGAACCATTCTATCGAAATGTCAGTCTCCTGTGGGTCGGGCAGGAAGTGCTTCTAGCTGAGTAACTGACAACCGCACCCCCTCCGCCTCCCCTGCTGTACTCGGGGTACTTGCATTCGGTCCTGTTGTCCATGCATCCGTAGAGTTGGACAGGGAGATCGTGCCACATCCTTAAGCTTCTCCCCCAGAGCTCTGCAGCCCAGAGAATTCCCTCCTTCGAAAGGGACGCCCATGCTCCAGCAAAGCCAACATAGGCCAAGAGCAACTCAGACCACCAGACTTCTTGGCAAATCCAATCTCGGAAAAACAGTAGGCTTCCTTCCACTCACTTGTTATGGAGTGAAAAAGATCTATGCACTTCTATTCCTTGTTTCTTCTTGGCTTCCCAACCATCAATAGAGACCTATGGAGATGGAAATGTCTAGTAAATCAGACCCACTGACCTCCAGTGGGGTTAGTAAAAGCATTAATTTCACTGTCCACTTTGTGTAACACACACCTGGGGAGTGAGGAGGGGACCTTGGGAACTAAAAAACTAAATACCCTTCGTCATGGTTTTCACTTACTTCTCCTTTAGTTAAAAATAAAACTGGGGAAAAATAAAAGGAGAGGAAAGTTCACTTACTGGAGCTTTGCTTATTGCTGTACGATGCCTAGAAGCCGTGGTGCAGAGTCTCTCAGGACCTTCTGGTGAACAGAGTTTGCTCCCAGGAGTCCAGCCCAGCTTCTCCTCCTCAAGGTACCCCAGACCAAGCACACTGATGGGGGCTTTGGCAGCAAAGGGTTGCAGGAGGCAAAGCTTTCATGGCAGATAGTCAGGGCTCAGAGGTACAAAAAAAAACATGCCTATAGCAAAGAGCCCACCTCCTGACAGATAAAAGTACCCCATGATTTAGTGAATTATGGCAGAATACCAAATAAATACAGATCTGAGCCTGGTTAATCAGCACCAGTGACCACCCTGTCTGCCCAAATTCCATCTCTCCCAAACCTAGTCAAACCATGGAAACCTAGCTGCCTGGTGGTGGTGGGAGTGGTCATGAGGAAGCCATCTACTCCCTGTTTATACAAGAGGACATCCCCCACCCCCAAGAAACCTGTGTCCTGGACCCAAGATGGAGTCACAAAGGGAATGGATATTTTACAAGAGTCAAAATGGCAATTGAATAAAACCCTCGCTTGATGGAGTAGAAAGATGGATGAGAACCTCCTTTTCTTTCTTCTTTCCTCCCCCTAATCCCAGTTAACTTCTGCCATAGACGTTTCTCCCCTGTTCCATGACACCTTACTCCTGAGGTCCTCATAGAAATATAAACAACCCATAAGTCATGTTTTTGCTTTTTCTCTTCCACGCACTTGGCCACAGGGGTGCCCTGGAAGACATGTAACAGAACTGGAGTGGAGATACCTGGGTTCAAATTTCCTATCTACCTCTCAGCTTCCACATAATCATGGCCAAGCCCCCTAAGCTCTTGGAGTCTGTCTTTGCACAGTGAAATGGGGCTGTGTTGATGCACATCACTTCTTCATAGAAGATTGTGAGAACTCTGGGTGACCTTACCTTTCAAGATGCTTGTTTTTGGATCTGTTACCTTGTATGTTATCTTGCGTGTAGTAAAAATATATAGTCATTCTTTAAATTTGTGACAGTTCTGCACCCCCACACACATACACCAAAAAAATGCAAAATTTGCAGGATGGGTTTATAAAAGTACTGGAACTCAGAAAAGAACTCAGCCTGAACCACCTACTGGGTGCAGGCTGGAAGCACTCTCTTTGCTTTTAAGGCCTAAAGGTTACATTTGCATCAGGGTCCTGCCACCATTTGATAAATGGTAGAGCAGCTAGATCTTTCCCTTGAATAACATCAGTCCCATTGCCGTAGAGTAAGTGGTTTCTTTTCAGAATTGACTGCGGAATTGCTGCGTCTCCTCCAGTGTCTGTTAGCGATTGAGAAAGTGGTCAAGTTTGGGAAACTCCTGCTGGAAGACGAAGTGGTCCCTGACACCCACACCCTGCAGCTGTTCCCATTTTCATTCGTGGCCTGGGAACTCTTGCTTTCCTTTCCAGGACCCTTTAGGCTTTGGCCAGCAAAGCAGAACACCCCTCCTGAATAGAACCCCAAAGCACCTTCCCCCATTGCCAGTCACAGGGCTAGCAGAGATCACCATAGCCACTGTTACGCAAATGTCCAGAACCTTCTAAGTGGATGCTGTCCATTTGGGATAGAAAAGTGACCAGGGAAATTCCAGAGGGGCTGATGAGGTCACAGGCCAGAGTTTCCAGGTGATGACACAAATTTCCTTATCCCTCTCCTAAAATACCCTCTCAAAAGTACCCAGTACCCCACGGGCACCTCGGCTTATGCCAAGAGTCTGATGTTCACATGAAACATCTCAGGGTCTGGGGATGGCAGAGTTCTGAAAACGTGTCCATCAACAAGTGAGGCTGCGAGGGGAGGAACCCTGGGGAGAAGGAGACAGCGGCAGAGTTGACCCCAGCTTACCTCCTGTTTAGTCACCTTTTTCATTGCTGTGACCACGATACCTGACAAGAACAGCTTAGAGGAGGAGAAGTTGACAGGGACTCCTGGCTTCCGAGGTCTCAGTCCATAGATGGCTGACTTCATTGCTCCGGGCCCAGGGAGAGGCAGCACCTCGTAGGGGAAGGGCCCAGAGGAGGAAAGTGCTCACCTCATGGCAGGCTCAGGAAGCAGAGAGAGATGCAGGGGCCACCAGGAAAACGAACCCTTCCATGGCACACCCTTGCTGACCCACCTCCTCCAGTCTTGACCCGCCTGCCCACAGTTACCACCCAGTCGGTCCATTCAAACTAGAATGGACCCATAATGTAATCATTCCTCCGCTGAACAGTCCTGTGTTGATGGGAGCTTTGAGGGTAGCACCTCATATCTGAACCCTAGCACCTCTTCCCCAACTGCCAGTCTGCAGGTTTCGGGGCCCCAGCAGATTCTACCTTTGTCTCTGAAATCAGGTCATTTCTTTGCCCGTGTGTCCATGGCCTTCTAGTAAAAGGAGGTGCCGAAATATCCAAAGATTCTGATTGAGAGACTCTAGGGACTTTTGACAGGTGCTTAGCATGTCTAGAATCATCTATGGGAGGAAAGTATAAGAGAGAAAAAATGAACAGATACCCAAATTTGAAGGGAAGAGGAATGAGTGGAGGGTATAGGCATGAAATTTAATTGGAATCAAGAAACCCTTCATTTATTTCTGAAAATGGATAGGATTCCTTGAAGGCATTGGGGGTTGGAGCTATTAGAGTAAAAGGGGAAATGAGGGAGGGAAGGAGGACAGGGATTCTGTGACCCAATCCCTAGCCTCATTTTGTAGGATATGAGCCTGTCTCACAGCACCTTCCCACCATAGCCAGGGAAGCACCTGCCTTCTTGATCCTACAGAAATAATTTATTGATCGTGTGATATGTGTGACCTATAGCAGGGGTCTGCAGTCTGTGGAGAAAGAGGGGAGACAAAAGGGTTTCTGCAACCAGGGCCTTGAACCCATTTCTCTTGCTATAGCTGCAGAAGAATGATGGTCTGGGGCTTTGGAGGACACAAATTTTTCTATCCCTAGGTAGTGTCCTGGGCAGAAGCCGTGGGATCATGCTACTCATAGGTGGGGAGAGAAAGTTCATCTTGGTAGAGAATTGGTCACCCAAGACTTTCTAGGTGTGATTTGTAAATGTGGTCTCATTGAAGAGAGGCCTCATTGGGTTTCTTATCAGGTAGCATTTGCTGTGTAACAAACAACTCTGAAATTTGTGACTTAAAATAGCAATCTTTTATTATTTAGCTCATTATTCTGTAGGTTGGCTGGGATGGATAGACAGCTAGGGCAGGAAGATAGTATTGGGACCAACTCAGGGGATTTCTGTGATCTCTTGGTGGCTTCATTGGGATTGAGTGATCTACAGGACCTCACACGTGTATCTGGCAGTTGACTGGGGCATCTAGAATGGCCTCCACTGTAGCTTCTCAGATCAGCTCCACATGGTCTTACCTCTTCCCATAGGCTATCCCAAGCTTTTACACAGCTTTTACATTCTTACAGAGTGAGGGTAAAAGCTCTAAGACCCCTTGAAGTAAAAGCTCCAATTCCATACAACATCATTTCCACATACTGAGGGAGAGGGAAAATAGACTCATCTTTGAGGGGAGGATCTATAAGAAATTTATGCCTATTTAAAACCTACCACAGCAAGCAATCTGGGCACCTCTGGTCTGGGGTCAAATCTGCTTCTGTTTGATGGTTCCAACTTGAGCAACCACTTCATTTCTCAGGCCCTATTTTTATTTCTTTCATCATCTGAAAAATATGAGACATAGTTACATGATCTCTGAAGACCCTTTTTGCTCTAAAAACTCATATATATATATATATATATATACACACACACGTATATGTATATATATACACACATACATACACACACATATATATAATGTGTGTATATATATGTGTGTATATATATATATGTATATATACACAATGGAATATTATTCAGCAATAAAAGAGAATAAAATCATGGTATTTGCAGGTAAATGGATGAAGTTAGAGAATATAATGCTAAGTGAAGTTAGCCAATCCAAAAAAACCAAATGCCAAATGTTTTCTCTGATATAAGGATTTGGGGGGGCAGTGTGGGCGAATTAGAAGAACTTTAGATAGGACAAAGGTGTGGGAGGGGAAGGAAGGGGCATGGGGGTAGAAAGACAGTGGAATGAGATGGACATCATTACCCTAAGTACATGTATGAAGATGCGAATGGTGTGACTATACTTTGTGTACAACCAGAGATATGAAAAAAATGTGTTCTATATTGTAAAATGAAATGCAAATGTTGTCATTTTTATAAATTAGAATAAAAAATAAATTTTAAAAAAGGACACATCACTGCTATTGCATTTTTACAAAGTCAAAATGAGAAATGTTATACAAAGTAAAGTAACACGTCAATGCTCTTCAAAAATAGCAAGGTCCTAAAAGACAAAAAATACTGAAGAGATGTTTCATAAGAAGAGATTAGAGACATGACAACTAAGTGTAATGAATTATTGGATTGGATCCTAGAGAAAGGGAGAATATTTTACTATAAAAGGCATTAATAGAACAGTGAATAAAATTTGAATAAGATATGTAGGTGATCTGGGGGCAGTAGCACATGCCTGTAATCCCAGCAGCTCAGGAGGCTGAGGCAGGAGGATCGCAATTTCTAAGCCAGCCTCAGCAAAAGTGAGGTGCTAAGCAACACAGTGAGACTCTGTCTCTAAATAAAATACAAAACAGGTCTGGGAATGTGGCTCAGTAGTCGAGTGCCCCTGAGTTCAATCCCTGGTACACCCCCCAAAAAAAAAAGATATGAAGGTGATAATATTATACCCATGCTAATGTGCTGATGTGGGCAACTTCTTTATGGTTATATAACAGAATGTGTTTGCTTTTAGAAAATGTTCAGAGGAAAAGTCATGGGAAAAATAAAACGTATGCACATATACATATACATGTATATAGATATAAATATATAGAAAGGGAGATGGAAGAGAGAAGTGAGGGAGAGATTGAGGATTTTAATGCAAATGTGATAAAATAACACTTAGACAACCAGAGTGTATGGGAATTCTTTTCACTGTTTTTGCAAATTTTCTATAATTTTGAAATTATTTTTTAAGTTCAAAGAAAACATGCATATTTGAAATTTCAATAGATTTCATCAAATAGCTAGCTATAGAAACTGTACACATTTTTGCTCCCACCACCAGCAATGTACAAAAGTGGCACTTCATATTTACAAAATGCATTCACACATTACACTCGGAGAATTTATTACTACTCCAAGAAATAGAAAAAGGTATTTTCTTCATTTTACATAAATGAAGCTTCAAGAAGTGTAGACAGTAAGAGTAGTGGTTAAGAACACAGACTTTTGAAACAATAATTATATGCTATTTCATCCCAATCAGACTGGCAAACATTATAAAGTTTGAAAATACCAAGCGTTGGCAGGATGTGAAGAAATGAGCAGTCTCGTAGTGTGTTGGAGGAAGTGCAATTTTGTACAATCATTTTGGAGAGCAATTTGACAATATCTAATAAAGTGGAGGATGTGCATGTCCTGAAAGCCAGGAATCCCACATCTAGCTGTATTTCCTGGAGAAATGTTTACATGCACACAGAACCATGTTCCCAACAGTGCCAATTGCAATAGTAAAAAATGGGTGATGATCTCTATGTCCAACAAAGGGTGAATGGTCAAATACTCTGTGGTCAATTTGTTACAATATATCAACTTAAATAGAAGGACCAAAACTGTAGTTGGAACATAGAAAAAAACTCAAAAACTCCATGGTGAATAAAGAAAGTAAATTGCAAAAAGAATGTGTGCCTTTATGTACATTTTTAGAGTGTTATATATTGTTCATGAGCATACTTACATACATGTAAGAAAAGTCTAGAATCTTTCCCTGAGAGGACATGGTATCAGTTTCAGTGGAATGGTGATTTGTGGGAAGAAAGTGTGAAGGACAAGATCAAGAATGTATGAAAAGGAGATTTTCCTATATTTAGAACATTTCATTGGACCCAAAATAGGTATAAAGCGAATTGGACAAGAATATTAACATTCTTGCATTTGGGGTGCTAAGTACTTGGGTGTTTGTTAAATTATACTGAGTGTTTTTCTGATATTTGAAATACTTCATAGCAAAGTAAAAAGTTTGGCAATAATGAACATGAGCTTTGAAATCAAATAATCCTGGATTCAGATCTCTAATACTTGTCGGTTGCATAAGATTAAATGGTTTTCTTAATGTCATTGACCTCAGTTTACCACGTATAGAATGCCAATAATAATGCTTGCTTTAAAAAGATGGTGTATCTAGAGTGAATGTGATAATATGTATGAAGCCCTAGCACAATGCTCCTAAGAGGAGCTCAAAAATAGTTCTATATCACTAGAATCAGATGGTTCTCAACCAGGGACAGTTCTCTCCCAAGAGGCATTTGGCAATACCTAGAAACACTTTGGATTGTCATTATGGGTGGGGAAAGGCCAGGAAGCAACTAAATATCCTGCAGAGCACAGTGCAATGGCCATGTTCACAATAAAGAATCATTTGACCCAAAATCTTAATAGTATTGAGGTTGAGAAGTGCTGATGTGGGCAACCTCAAGGTCACCCAAAACTTGACCCAGGCCTTCTGACTCCCAGTTGAGTGCTCTTATGCCTATACCATGTGAATCTATTAGACCTTGACCTTTCTACAAAATAAGTAGAGAAACTGGTGATGCTATCTACCTTTCTTCCCAGCTTCATTTTGGAGAAAACTCCACATCTTTCTAAGCAGAACAACTACCTGGCATATACATTTTCATAAATACTATTTGGGAGTTTTTTTAGTTAATTATGGGGATTTTTTTTTCTTTTTCTGTTGGTGCATTATAAGTATACCTAATAGTGGGATTCCTTGTAAACATTCATACATGCACACATTATATAATTTGGCCATGCTATAATCCCAACTGTTTGGGAGGTTGAGGTGGAGGATCTTGAGTTCCAGGCTAGTAGGGCACCATAGATCTTGTCTCCAAAAAAGAAAAAGAGAAAAAGAAAGAAAGAAAGAAATATAGCTCATAAATACTTCTTGAATAAATGAGTGAATCAGTTAATCAACCAATCAATGTCTGCAACCTACTAAATCGTGAAGAGACGTCACTATTCTTCCCTTCCCTAATTTCCCACTCATTTGACGTGATGGCCTATTTTTCACTGTTGTATCTTAAAAAGAAGAATCAAAACAGCAAGTGAGTGGCAAGTTCTCAGAGCCTTGTGGAACATATCAGAGGAGTCTTCTAACAATTCAGAGTTAAGTCTATGAGCTAATCCTCTGACGGCCCTTGTCAAGACACAGCTGGAATTTGGGGAGACAAAGAGAACATTTTTGGCTTAACCTGACAATGGCCATACAGCATAAAGTGGGTGACTGGCTTGAAGATGACTGTAATCAGGACATTTCAAATCTGGTTTGATTTTGGCACAGCTTAGGAAGAACACTTGCTCTTCTCTTAGGAATCACACACTTTTTTTTTTTTTTTACAACTAATTACTTTTGCTTTCTTGTAGACACCGATTTGGTGAACCCAGACCCTGTGCTTTTTTGGAAGACTACTGGGAGTCCCTGTTCTCATCTGCTTCACCACAGACTCGGAGAAGGTAGGTCCAGCTGCTCTCTGGACTCCTTTTTTCTAATGTTCATTTTAGCAATCCTGAAATTCTTACTAGTTATTTCAAGGGATATAAAAATTATCAAAATTATTACAATTATTATTTAGCTCATATTATAATTATAATACAAATGTGTTGTGGTTTCCATGTATGTATAGCTCATAAATATGCCCAGTAGGACTTAAAAGAGAGGAGATTCACTGAAGGAAGCAGCATACTGATACAAGGGGCACTATACAGTCAGTCCTAACTTTCTGCTTGTGACTGACTGACTGACCTTGAGAGAGTCACATGACCTCTCAGTCTCTTCATTCACAAAATGAGAAATTTGAACTTGTTTATTTTGAAGACATTTTCCTGAAATGTCTAATTCTTTGGCCTTGCAAAAACTGAATGATTTCCAGAGTCTGATGGATAATCCCTCCATCCCCACTACTGAAGTGCTTACTAAAAATGGACTTTCCCAGTCCTCAGCCCTAGTCTCCTGAATTGGAATCTCTGAGGTTGGAGAGCAGAAATCTGCCTTCTTAATCTCAGGTGACCGGGATGTGAAGCAATGTTTGACAAACTAGTGGCCCAACCATGGGCAGTGCTATTCTATTAGCACTAAAGTTCAGGGTCATAGATGGGACGAGGGAAGTCTGCTCCAGACAGAAACACTTTGGACTTGTCTTGTGTTTGTAGAAGAACTCACAAGGTCAGCATCCAATGGCTGTTTTGCCTTTGATTCTTGGCTCTGGTGTCCCCTTTAGCCCAGAACTCCACTCTACACATCTTTTGCCAGATCTGGGTATCCACAGCAGACTCCTTGGATGTCCTCCCCTTGAATACTGTTGAATGAGAAGATAATTCTTTTGGAAATGACCACTGAAGGAGGACTCCTCCTCCTAGATGGTATTCCAAATGCGACTGTGACCATTTGTCACCTCCTATCTTGTAAACAGCTTAGCTGTCAGTCTCTGGCTCTGGAGGGTATGGCTGTGCTCCTGAAGGGGTGGTCACTGTGGAAGGACCACAGTGAGGGAGGTGAGTTCTGGTAGATATTGTTTGGTAAATTATGTATTACCAAGATGGCGGACTCCTAGAGAGAAGGGAGCTGGCCCAGTGGCCCCAAGTCAGGTGACACCACACCACGGCCAGAACTCTAGACTGAGATCAGAAAACCATGCAGACAATACTGTAGTCCATTTCTGATGCCAGTATAGGATTATGTGGCCTTTTGGCCTTTCTAGGTTGTGTGCCCAAGCCCTCAAGGAATCACAGAGTCCCCTAAAGAGACTTATGTCTTAGAAGAGAACTAAATACGGACCTTGAAATAAAATCAGTGTCCCCCAGTATTGCCTACAGAGACTTCTCACCAGGATAGGTCTAATTGCTCAGCAGGATGACTATTGCTCTTCTCCAGAGCTTGAGCAGATATGATTTTCTGGCATCAAATAAAGGGAAATGGAGCCTTAAGTATATAGTGTCACTGTTGTCTGCTATGGATTGGATATAAAACTCTTCTCCCAAATCCCAGGCAAGGCATTGTGTGTGATCTGTCAGGTAAAATACTAACAAGTGCCCCTTCAAGAGAGAACCACTCACCCATAAAGAACATCCAGACAACACCTACTGCTGGCTGGGGATAGATATGGGCTTTATTTGATTTGGGGTTGATTTATCTGTTTGCCTTGCTTCTAGAACAGCATAACTTGGATTTAATGTCTTGAATACTGAATCCAATACTTCTAGGTTCACTGACTTGTTATTATTTAGCATTTATGAAGTATATGTCAATGCACTTGGCACTTTACAATGACTCATAAAAAGGCTCGATCCTGGCCGTTGAACATAAGGTTGCTATCAGTTGAATTATTGCTAATATGGAAATGGTCACAGGACAGATCTGGATGTCTTTTGCCCCTAAAACAACTGTTCATCCAAGTCCCTTAATGCATCTGAGCCCAATCAGAGATATAGTAGCTGCTACTGTTTTTAGAGCAATATTTCAGTGCAATAGACTCAATGTGTAGTTTCTGACACTTAGGAAAAGCTGAGCAAGGATAGATGGATGAATGATGATGGATGGATAGATGGATGGATGAATGGATGGATGGTTCACTTCTCAGTGGACATCTCCCATTTTTTTATTTGTTCTTCCACCTGAAGTTTTATTTAAGCATCTTACAAGCACTGTGCTTATAAAGCTAGCTGACTTTAAAAAGAACTGTTAGGTCACTTTTTGTTAAAAAAAAATTGATCTCAATATATCTATAAGGTGGATAGAGACATAATGAGAAACAGATTGCACAAAATCATATAAACTTGTTAATAATATTATATCAGTGTCAATTTCTTGGTTTTAACCTTGTTCTAGAATCTGTAATGGAACATGTTACCATTAGAGAATGCTAGGTGAAGGGTCCAAGGGATTTTCTGCCTTAATTTTGCTTCCTGAGAATCTGAAAATTATTTTTTAAAAAATCATATGAACTTTAGCCTCACCTATTTGTAGTCACACCTCACTGCACATATCTTCAGCCTCTAGGTCTTCCAACTAATAACTAGCAATACCAAGAATGTCCATTCCTACCAGTGCCTCACCTTGGGTCTCATCTTTCATGACCTTTCATCTTACCCATCAAGTCCCTCATTCTCCAGATTTTTCTTCCCACTTGGATTCTAGGGAGTGTTCCTCTAAGCTCTCCTCCTGTCTCCTGACCTTATCTTTTCTGATGTCTTTTCTTATGGCCTCTAAATATAAATGTTCCCCAAGATTGTGTCTTCCTTACTCTTGATTTGGCTCTACTTTCTCTGACTTCACATCTCATCAACTTTAATGGCTTTTACTCTCCACATCCTGCAGGAACTCTAGGTCCTGGCTCTGACTTCCCTCTTAAATTCCCAGTGGCCCTTATGTTTCACCAAAGCTTCACACTCTGTGCCCTTACTCCCAGCCCCATACTCTCTTCTCCTTCCCACTTTCCTGTTTCTCCTGATGAGATTCCTCATTCTGTCTGTCATTCAGAATGGAACTTTGCAGTTAGCTTGACTTTTACATCTGTTACTACCCTGGCCAGCTTCCTCTCCAGGGTCTCTCCCAGCCTCTGTTCCCAGGGCCACTGCCCTAGCTCCAGCCTTCCCCACCTGTAGACACCACTCAACTGCCCTTTGCACCTTAAGTCTTGTCCCTTTTCAGGCCCATCAGACTTACCATGGCAATTTTATTTTCCTAAAAGAATAACTTTCGTTATGTTCTTTTATGCTGCAAACTTTTGATGGCTTTACACTATATACTCCACCCTTTCCCACCTATTAGCTAAAAATAATCTCCTCCTAGCTGAACTTCCATAGTTTTCTTTTCTAAATATCTTTCTTTTAGAATTACTGGACAGTAATTCTCCAGGCTCCCTCCTGTATTTCACTGACCCCCAGAGAAATAGAGACAGTAGTGTGGGTGTGTTGTACTCTTACTTCTCTCCTACGACTATGCATTTTCCTTGAAGTGATCACTCCCCCAGAAGGATGTAGGGAGTACATCATCCTGTTGAGTTCTACTCATAAACACAGGTCACTATGGTTCTGGGAGGCTCTGGGATTGCCCTGCAGAGAGCCAAATGTCATAACCTTGGACATACCATTTACTTCTCCCAGCTTTGGTCTGCTCATATATGAATAGGCTACTATTGTTATGTGACACTATGATGACTAGATAAGTAATAGAGCCATGCGTGGTGTCAAAGGGCTCGGTGTTAGCTATTGTTATCATCATTGTCATTATTGTGTTGTCACACTGGCAGTGTGACATTATCCGAATCTTAAGTGTTCACTGTTTGACAGATGAGACTAAGAAATTCCACCCACATGGTGAATTAATATCCTGAGTACTTCCACTAAGATTTGGGTTGGTAATCTTTGGTACTTTAAATGATGGGTGGTAGGCCCGAGAAGATCCTGAAAACAAGATTCTGTGATTTCCTAGTAGGAGATTTGTCTTCTTTTATATTTAGCCCTCCAGAGTTCAATGTCAAAGCTTTCAGTGTTGGACAAACCAAAGTCAGACTGCAGGAGAGGAGGTCTTGTTGACTTGAAATCCCTGCTCCCCTACACATGTGCTAACACACAAGTCTCAGACTGAGAATGAGGCATGAGTTGGCAAGGACCAAAAGGCAAAATGGAGGAAGAAGGAGAGGCTGGACTGGAGGAGATTTAGAATGAAGAAGGAGAAATTTGAAATACAAAAGTTGATTCTAACAAAGACATCAAAATGAGTGTTGAAATAGAACACATAGTTGTGCAACATTTTGAATATAATATTGCCACTGAATCATACACTTAAAAATGGTTAAAATGAAAAAAAATGGCTAAAATGAAAATTTTTGTTATATAAATTTAGAATAAAAAACAAACCCATAAGCCAGGCACAGTGGTGAACACCTGTAATCCCAGCAACTCGGGAGGCTGATGCAGGGGATCACAAGTTCAAAACCAGCCTCAGTAATTTAGTGAGGCCCTAAGCAACCTAATGAGACCTTATCTCAAAATAAAATATTTTAAAAAATGGGCTGTGGATGTTAATCACCCTGGGTACCAAAAACATGAGAAAGTGAAACCACAAACCCAAAAAACAGGACAGCTGTAATGTGTAATTTATAAAGCATATTTTATTTTAGAAATATTTTATTATATGACAGACATGCTTATGTTGATGTAGTGATCATTGAGCACCTATTGTTTACAATGGTATATTATATCTTGATATGTAGCTATATTGGGTTTTCTTGTGTATTCATATTCAACTGGCACATGAAGGAATAATAATCATATCTGACTTGTAGGAAGAGTACACTAATTTTATTGAATGGAAATAAAAGCAAAGACCTGGCTTCAAAATTATTCAAAAAGCACCTTCTGCTTTAAAAATAGACAAACTGAAGCATGAGCCAAATCACATCAGCAGTGCATGAAGTTCTGGTGCCTCTATCCCACCCAGGCCAATGCTGCTATTGACAGACTAATATTTGCCAAGTTGGTGGGCCTGGAGGTGTTCTCTCATTCTCTCAATCTGAGCACTGATTGGCCATTTGGATTCCTTTTTGCAGTGATGCACCTGTTCAAGTCTTTTGCCCATTTGGGGATAGATGGTCTGTCTTTTTCTTACTTACATGTCAGTGCTATTTATTGCAAGGGCTTGTAGAATTCTCATTCATTTAAGACTTAAGGAAACCTTAGTGTGATTAGCCAGTCTCCATGAGTGACAGCAAGAACACGGAGCCAATTCTTTGCATGCCCTCTTTTTTGGAAATGGTTTCAGAGAAAATCATTTAAGGACTTTTTCTCCAAACAAGTTACTCATTATGGAGTCAAAACCAGGTCGGGGGGACTCAGCATTTCTTCCACATTCACTGAAAGTGTGACTTCAAGCACAAGGCCATTTTAAAATGGAAATAACACAACTGAATAGATCATTCGAGGAAATGAAACATATTATTGAGGCCAACACATCCATTGGCACTTGTTAGCTCATCTCCAAAGAACAAAATACTGAGTAGCAAAGGTTTAAAGGGAATGAGACTGTATCCAGTTCCCAGTAGAATGAAAAAGCTTTGGGCTCTGGCCAGAGAATAGATTTGGACCATAGATTGGACTTTTTTTCAGGGCCTTAAATTTAAATGACTAGAATTACTTTTAAAGTATCATCCTACTCAGTCTTTTGGAATGAAAACATGGTTTTCAATTTTACAAAAGTAAAAACGTCATCTAGCATAAAGATGCAAGACACCGTCGTTGATCTCACTTGTGTGGGCCAGAAAAAAGGATGGGGAATTCTAGTGTTGACTCAGCCTGCAGGGAAGCTGCCTCTGTAGCATCCTTAGACCTGCGACACATATGCACATACTACACACAGGAACACATCTACACAGACGCAGTATATACATGGTATACATGCATACACGTGTGTACACACATGCCATGCACATATACATAGAGGTGCATTACAAACTGTATACACACATGCACATATACACAGAGACCCATTTCATACACAGGATACATGGATACACATACAAACCAAGCACATAAGTGCATAGACACATATATATATACATGCATATAGACATATATAACACATGTGTGCACCCACACACTGATAATCTGTGCCTGAAAAACTTGAGACAAATACATATATGGAGGAGTATAAAGAAATAGATCTGTCCCTCTAAAAAGACACTAAATATTGTATTGTGAAGCTTGTAAAGCCCCCATTTCTCATGTTAGATTACTAGTTCATATAAAATTTAATTATTTAGAAACTGAAGTGCAGTTGCAAGTTTTAGGGGTGGAAAAAAATAGAACTCAAGTTGTTGTTTATTTTTTAAATCTCATATCTAAAGAACAGATAGATTTATATCCAGATGCGAGCATTTAGAAGGAAAGTGTGTTGCTATGGCTCTCTCATTTTCTAAAATAAATAGGGTGATATTAACAGTCAGTACTGATATATGAAAAGATCCAGTCATCTGGGAAAGACCCTTCTTCCATAAAGGTATCATCAAAAGCCTGGCCCCGGTACCCATTTCTTCAGGGTTCAATGGGTGTCAGTTACCCAGTTGGCTGCTTAGGGATCCAGTCGGCCTGGATCCCATATTCTTAATCCATTTACCCTTAGACTTCCTGTCCTGAGCCCTGTGCCCACAGCTCCAAGTCTGCATGGGGAGATCATGCCTTGTGACTCAGGAGCCCTTTGCTGGCAAAGCCTCGTTCCTCCAAGCACCTGGCCATGAGGAGGAAACCATATCCCAGTGATCAGCAAGTGCTGCCAGTAGGACCTGGTATTTAGGACCCTTTACTTCTGGGGACCCTTTTGATTACTATGTCATTCTTCTTGAATGTGCCTATGTGCCCAACCCTCTTCTCAGAATGAATACTTGTCTAGAACATTCCTTCAACTGCCACTCAAAAATATTCCCAGCAGCTATTCCCGCAGTTACCCAGCCATGCCCAGGGGTGTGGGAATCCCCAACCAAGGACACTGCTATTAGATTTTCAGCTCAGTTGGTATGACAGGCAATGTTTCCCAGAATTCTTTGGGTTCCCTCAGCACTTTCCCTCCACTTCTCAATTCAGATACTCTCCTAGACTCTCAAAAGTGAATAAGGGGAAGTCTCCAGGAACCAAGGAGGACTGCAGACCCTGGAGACCCCTTACACTGGAAAAATGCTGCCACCTCCCTTTCCCCACAGGGGCCAACACACCCCGGGTAGCTGTCATGAGTTCCCACACTAACAAAGATGGAAGAGCCCGAATCCTGCCCTAGCAACCCTTTCTTTCGAGAGAGGGTAAACTTCCGCAGCACAATTACCTATGCAGAGCTTCTGGCCACCTACCAACCAGCCAAACCCAGTGCTTAAAAGGAGCCTGTATCCAACGGATAATAAAAGTTGGAGGTATTCTCTGTAGTCCCTGAACTTCCATGATGTCACTTCAGTAACAACATTTCTGGATTCTTGGAGGGCTTTTATTATTATTATCATCCTCTTCATTACCAATTCCAGATAAGTGAGGTCATTGTTGAATCATTGCATTCTGGATAAGAGATTGTGTAAATCCAGATTAAGCCACTAAACAGACATTATGTTGGACACTGGTGTGTGTTTGTTGGGATGTTTTTCTGTGCACATAAGATGCTGAAATTACTGAAGCAAAACCCTGATGAAAGCTATTCATAATTTAGCCTTTATTATCATACAAATATGTCAGCTCCATCTACCCAAAAGAATATCACAGGCATGTTCAATATAAAATGCAAATATAATAATTTAGTGGGTTGGCTATGTCAGGGGTGTTTGACTTAAACCTATTACCTTGGCAGATTAAACACAGTGACAGATCTTTCACAAGGCAGATATTCTGATCAAGTTACATCTTCTCTCAGCATTCATAGGTCATCAGTTCAGTTGGGTCTAAATAGAAAGAGGACAAGAATGGGTGAGGAATCGAGAAGGAGTAGAGCACAGCCACAGAGAATAAGGAGGACCTGCCTGATAACTCCCAGACCATGCAGTGTCCACTGAGACGTACTATGTTTTGCTCAAGCATGAGCTATTTGTAGCAGACATTGATTCTCTTGTGTGATGGAATAGGTGAAGGTCCACCAAGCCCTCCAGGCCGACCTGATCACTTCCAGATCTTGATACCAACTCACCTGAACAGAAGTGGGCCCAGTCTGAGCTTTGACATTGGCTCTAACCCTTCAGAGCATTTGGCATTCTCACTTGACCCCACCCCAGACTCTGACCTCTGCTTTGCAGGCAAGACTCATTCTGCACATGAGTGGTCTTGCTAGGGCCGCTGTCCTTCTAAATAGAAGTTCCTGCCTGAATGCTCCATGGTCCATCTCCCTATGGCACTGCCCACTTCTTACAAGGGCTCTTCCAGGACTGTCCTGTCCCTCCCTCACACACACAAACCTCCAACCTGATGACAATAACACTGGCGTCTTGGGACAGCCCACTTTAAGCCCGTACTCCACTCAGTGAGACAGGCTTGGTGGAAAATCACCAGCTTCATCCACTTTGTCCAGCATGGTCTCTTGTCCCAATATGGCATGATCACTTATGAGCTTTGGAGCTTATATATCCAGTGGCTTTTCCAGGGGAGCATCTTACAAACTGCCACAGAGAACTGCAGAAATAATTGATCCCTTTTTTAAAAAAGAGCATTCCTTCTGTGGCCTTTGTGATCCTTCTGGCTTTCATATGCTGTGAAAAGTATTGGCTCATGGCTATGTATATGTATAGCCAGGAAATAGGAAGAAGTCACACTCAGAGCGGGTCCTCCTCTGTGTCAACTTCTAATTGGCTGAAGCTCTTTTTTTTTTTTTTTTTGAGAATCTTTATTATTTATTTATTCTCGGCGGACACAACATCTTTGTTGGTATGTGGTGCTGAGGATCGAACCCGGGCCACACGCATGCCAGGCGAGCGCGCTACCGCTTGAGCCACATGGCTGACGCTCTTAACGCGGAGACTTTTTGCCAAAGTAGATAGTGACCCACAGAGTGACAGTTGCCAGGCTACTAGGGTGGGGTTGGCAGTGGCAGACAGTTAATAGTTGGGGAAGGATCTGGAAGAAAAATCTAGGTGCTCAGGACTTTGGCTGTCCTCTGGATCCGACTGGCTGTGTGATGTGTAAATCCTGCACAGCCAAGTTTTCCTCTATAAAATAAGGAAGTTGACCTAGAGCAGGTCTCTTCACTTCCAGTTTTCCTAAATATGCATGACTCTGAAGTCAGATGGCTAGGTAGGAATCTGGAAAATTCTAATAATTACCAACTGCCATTTTCATAAAATTTTCTCCTGGAGTTTAAACATACATTATGTAAGCATTTGACATCATTATCTCATTTAATCCTCACAGTCTTTCCAAGAAGTTGATACCATGGTTCATTTCACAGAAAAGGGAACAATTTTTGCAGAGGTTGCCTGACTTTGTTAGGGTTGTGGCCTTAATAAACAACAGAGTAGAGATTTCAGTCCCGCTGGAACTAAACTGATTACACTTCTATGGAGACACATTAAGTTTCCGAGCCTCTTTTTAGAACCCTCAGTGCCTGAATTCTGTCATGCTGCCCCTCGGTGTCTACTCTACATTCCCAACCTACCCGCTTTCCTGATTCCTGAGACCCACGTGAAGCACGCCTTTGGTTTGTGTGAAAGGGTAGTGTCATGCTTTAGTTCTGCATCCATTCTTCACAACACGATGGGAATCAATAAGAAAACAGCACAAATGAATTTCTGAGCAGCTACTTGCAACATGAAATATAAGTGAAGATGTGACTCAAAGCAAGATTTAGCTCAAAAGAATAACTTTGTAAGACAATCAAGTATCTCCTCTGTGTCCAGCAAGTGCTTAACACAAGTCGTCTATAATTTTGCTGAGTCCCCCTTTGAATCATAGATGCTGGGAGGCTTCTCGCAGTTTCCAATGAGGTCCAATTGATCTCCCAGCCTTTGCATCTCATCACCACAAACCAGTTTTGAAGGAAAAAAAAATGCACCACCCCACCCCCAACATCAGACAACTTCTATTGAGCGCCAGTTACATAAAGACTTCTAAGGAAGTGAAGATGATCCCTCACCAGAAAGTAGAAGTTCTTTACAAATTAAAGAATAGGCTTCAAAGTCAGAATTGGCCTCTGAGCAAGGTCATTGTATTCTATTTGGAAATAAGCAAAAGCTCTACTGTTTCATCAGTATATTTCTGGTGATACAGTCAATGTTCAGGATTCACAGATTCTATGTTGGTGAATTTGCCTACTCCCTGAAGTTAAGCTGTGACTTCAAATCAGTGCTCGCCACACTGGTGGTTTACTCATGGTCATGTGCAGAGAAGTAAAAAGTTTGAATCACCCAACATTCCCAGCTGAGGTCGAATAAGGCCATGCTCTGCCTTCTTGTTTCATTTCTCATTCTGTAAACAAGTGTTCTTTCCACAGGGCCACGTTTTTTCACATCGTGTGCTTTGTGTTGTTGATGTCACTGTTTAAAATGCCCCCCCCCAAGCATAAGGCTCTCTAGTGTCCCCAAGGGCAAGAAAGCTGAGTTATACCTCACAAAGAAAACACATGCTTCATGAGCTTCATTCAGGCATGCGTTAGAGTGCTGTTGACTATGAGCTCAATGTTAATGAGGTAACAATATATATTTAATAAGGTGTTCTTAACCAGAAACACTCAGGGCTATGTATTGATCAGTTGAAAGTGTCAGGAGTTCACAGGAAACTAACCCTCTGGTTCTCCTAGGAACAGTGGCTCAGTATTCACTAATTCAACGTCTGCGGTGACTCTGTAGAATATAACTAGAGCAAATGATCATATTTCCAAAGTTAGGAATTCCTAATAAGGTCTCGAGACTTTCTGGGGGACTGCCAGGGAGGTCTGGGCGACTGATCGTGTGCCACTTTCGGCTTTATTTTTCTGCTTTATGGAAGATGAGAACTTACACAAGCACACCTGTTCCTTGTGCGATGACGAGCAGATTTTTCTCAGTGTTCAATTTACCGGGTACGAAGTGAGATCCCAGAATCTCCTGCTGCTGGAAGATACACAGAGAAGCTGCCCCTGACCTCAAGAGCCTCCACCATCGTGACCATGACCCATCTCAAGGTAGCGAATGTACGGGTCTAAAGGAAAGTGGAAACGCGTTAGACTTGGCAGGGAGAGGCACGAGCTCCCTGAGGCAGAACCTGAGGGAAACAGGCCATTTTTCTAATAGTAACCTTGAACTGTTAATTTTGTGTTTCCTCCCGGGAACTCTGCAAAGGAAGTCCAGCTTTAGCCAGAGCTTCTAATTAACTCTAAAGTTTCTACCGCATCAGCAGACACCTAAGGACCACCCTCGTGCTTGTCTCTCTCCGGACAGAAGTCAAAAAACTGCTGTAGGTGAGAACTGCACCATAGGAAATCCCGTTTTCTCTATGGGAAATGGTTGTCATATTTTCTTCACCCTGATTGTTTTGGAGACCTTGTGATCTTACAGCTGAAAAAATAGTATTTATGATACTCAGAATAGAAATAGTAACGTTAATTTATTAAGCATCCAATTTACGTCAGGACCTGCGCTTAGTGCTGGGAACAAAGGATAAAAGGCACCAGTCTGCCTCTAAGCATCTCAGTTATTGTAAAAGTGGGATAAAAGCCATGGAAGAGGGACACTGGGGTAGGGAGCCGGGGGCAGCACATAACTCAATGGAGGCTTAAAGGGGGATGATGGTATGCTTCTTGCTGGAACAGTCCCAAAGGTGGAGAGGAATTAGGCAATGAGGCAAATAGAATTGACCATTCTGGAAAGCAAGATGCACATATCAAACCTTAGAGGCATGAAGGAGTTCTGGGCATCCCACTACATGGGGCCCAGAGTTGGAAGAGTCCCAAGAGAGAAGGCAGGTAGAGAGGCAAGACCCAGATCCAGAGGAGCCTTGCAGGCCTCCTGGGGAGGTAAAGCTTGCTGAAGGACCTCACAGAGGCCAACAGATCACCACATTTGCACTCTCTGCGGACCAGTTGAATTGAGGGACGGGCATGTCTGCGGAGGAAGACAGCAGTCAAGCTGTTGGGAAAGCCACTGAGGAAATAAACTAAGAGAGAAGTAGGAAGACAGTACAAGTTCCATGGACCCATCCCAAGGAGGAGAAAACAGGTCGCCTGCTACTTGTGGTTGAGTTCAGGAGAGTGGTTTGGGCTGGAGATGGTAAGCTGATGGCTGATTTTTAGACGGCCATTGAAGCCAATGGTTTACATTGCAAAAAGCAAAGAACAGAAGCCGCAGAAACCCTGTCCAGGAACATTAGTATTTAAAGGATGGAGGTGGGGGGAGGGGGGAGAGGATAAAGATCTGAGATGAAGCATGTGGGGAAGTTACCAGAAATGAAGGACGAAGACAATTGTGCCTGATTCAACAGAGGGGAAGTTTCATAGAGGAGGGAGCCGTCACCAGAATTCAATGATGCGGGGAAGGAAGGCACCATTTTACGGGCCACTGGTGGGAGTGGGAATGGGTTGCCTTGGGTAGAGAGACAAATGGGGAAAAGAAGTAAAGGCAGAGCAGCTTTTTGGTAAACTTGACTCTTAAAGGAAGGAAGAAGATAGATGCAAATGAAGGGGATTTTTCCAATTGCCAGTCATAACCCAGCAGCGGTTCTTAACTGCTGATAGGATTCAGGGAGTAAAAATTGCAAATTGCACAAATGACACAGGCTGCCTGATGAAAACCTCCTAGAGAGGAAGGGAGGGGGCAGGAGGGAGAGCCAAGGAAGCTCTGGGTCAGGAGTTCTAAAGAGGACATCTTTTATGAAGACGTATGGGGAATAATTAAATGGAATCAGATTAAAACCTGGTTTACCCAGGACTGTCTCTTTCTAGCTTTTAACCTTAGGCAAGTTCTCTCTTGGAGCCTGAGTACTCTCGTCTGTAAAAATCAGCCAAATCCTATCTGTCTCACCAGCATCACTGGCCATAGTGAGAATTAAACAGGACGATACGTGTGAAGAACACCTTGGAAATTGGAAAGCCCGGTACGGTTGTGAGATGTCGTCGTGGGAGAAGAGGGGCCTTCTTGCTGCCCTTTGCCATCTGCCGGAGTGTCTTTTTCTGTTGAAGTCACTTCAGGCACCATGGAATAACTTTCTTCCAAACTGCAGGTGGATTTCTCTCTTCTGGGGATTTCTATCTTTTTTTTTTTTTAATTTTTCTTACCCACTTGAGAGGGAGAGTTCTGTGGATACATAAGAAGGCATTTTTTAAATTAAAAAAAAAAGAAAGTTAAAATAGCCCTAATTGCTAATCATTTTAAAAATTGATGGAGAGATGCATGAAAAAAAACCCAGGCAAACCACATTGCTTTATAGACATTTAATCTTCTCAGTTATGACCCTGGGGAAATAAATCTTTTCAGAGGTCACTACCATAGAAGAGGGTAACGTTACACCATCCTACTAACTGGGAAGGCAGTCTACATGGAAATCCATCCCCCAGCTCTTCATTGTTTTAAATCAGTCTTCCCTTCTACTCCAAAACACACTCTTCCATGATTTTTGTCAGTCATTGATAGTATCTACATTTTTCAATGAATACAAAGTAAAAGTACCTGTGCTAGATATTTTATACTAAAGCAAAGACTACAAACCGCTACACTGTGGGCCAAGACTATCTTTGCAAATGTATTTTATTTAACCATAGATAGTTTTTAAATTGGTCTATTTTATAGTTAAGCATGCCAGCGTCCACCTCTGGGAACCTCAGGTCAGGTAACACCAGCAGGGCTTTGGTCCCCCCAGCAGGTGGCTGGTGCTCTCAGGTCACTTCAAGCCCCAGTCCACCATGTTGCTTCCTCAGGCTGTTGCCCACAGGTCCCTGGAGATTTCAGCATATATAACCCTTCCTATCAAACCAAACCAAGAAAGTACAATGGAAGGGAAGACTTTTGTTTCTGAGGTTCAAGTGGTTAAAATAAAGAAGGAAGTAAACTTTCACCCTCCTAATACTTGGGATGAAGTGTCTGATTGTCAACTCTTAGCATCCTATCTACTTCAGTCTGGGGCTCCACAGAAGTAAAAGTCAAATCTTTTCTTTTGTGTGCTTCCTCATATAACAGAGATTAAAACCAAAGCAACCACTGCCTTTACAGAGGACCCAATGCATAGTCCAAAAGAAAAAAAAAATTGTATTAGTTCAAAAACAAAAGGCCATTTACCAAAAGATTCTAGAATGCTCTTCCTACCCTCACAAGGGCAAGAAACTTTGATCACCTGTGCCTGAATGGAAAGACATCTGGTAGACCACACTTCTCTTTCAGAGTTAGGAAAATAAAGCTTGTTCTAGGTTTATTAACACAGACATACTGGTCATGGCTGGGCTGTGCCACATAGAAGAAGTATTCCAAGCAGTGCGTTCTTTGGCTCCCGTCAAGTGGCCTGTTGTCTGTGGAATTTCCTATTCTCCAGCCCCAGAACAGAAAGCAGCCCTGCCACCCCCCACCCACAGCATTGGCCGTCATGAGGTTTAAAGAGGATCATTTGTTTTCATTACAGCCCCTTGAAGCCCTTCCTTCCCTCCTCATTAATGAATTTCCAGTCTTTCATCAAAAAACAAAAACAAAAAAACAAACACAAAAAAGGACCTGGCAGAGGACATAGTTAAGTGGCTGGCGTGCATGGCTGTGCCGGCTTTAGAGAGAGGAGACAGCCATTTACTGATTGCGAGGAGGGGTTGATGTCCTTGGTTAGTATGCTAATTTCGTCTCCTGCATTTAACATTCAGATCAGGTCCATGCAGGCCCTCCAGAGCCGCAGAGTCCAGGGATGGGTGGCTGTCTGCCTTGCAGCACTGAACATGCTCTGCATGAATTACATAAAAACCCAAACATTCAGCCTTCTCTGACTTCACTCTTTCCCTCCCTCTCAGAGAGACATGCAGACACAGAGCCGCATACACGCCACATGATGCCCACACACGCCCACACACCAGTGCCACGGGTCTCCATGAAGATATGCGATATAAGGTTCCCGAATCATCCACAACTGGCTTAATTCCACCTCCTCTGGGTTTCCAAGGCTCACTTCTGCAGGATGTATTTCTCCTGCTTGGGAAACTTGGAATGCATTGGGGAGTTCAAAATAAGGAAGCAACATGAAGATTTAAAAACAAACAAAAAAACATTTACAAGGAGGATATCTTATCTATCTTAACTCCCAGTTCCAGAAATCCTTAAAAAAAAAAAAAAATACCCAACTCCACTCATGGGAAAGAGAACCATATAGCTCAATTAACCAAACACCCAGAAAGAAGGAAAATCGGCTCACTTTATTCCGTAGGGTCCTCACTTTGTCATGTGTGTTTGAACAGTATATTAAAAGAGTCTTATTCATGGTTGGTTTTGGACTCACCAAGCCACAGCTGGGTGACAACAGAAGAGGAATCCTAAACTAGCTCCCACATGGCGGTCCAAATGGCAAAAGATGATCACCTGGCATTTTTGCCAAAAGCCCAGCCAATGGAAAACTGAATTTCCTCAACCTCCTTCCTCCAGGACATTTCTGTAACCTTGCGGCAGCTTCCTGGAAACAAACAGAATCAGCAGCTCCTAGCATCAGAAGGCATATTGAGGGGGTTGCTTTTAATAAACTGAAGCAATTTTGAGCAAGCAGAAGGCTCCAATTAGAAGGAGAGGACAGGTTGGTTTTTATTGTGTTGTTTTTTTGGTTTGGGATATTTTTTTTCTCAATGTATGACATAACCATGTACCCTGGCATGCCGTAGCTCCTTCCTCCGGACACTCTGATGGTCCTGGGTCCAGTCCTCTTGTGTGTCTGCACTATATTCCATGTTCAGCTGGGGAACTCCAGGCAATCCCTGCCGAGCCTCCCACCGGACCGATGGGTGTTTTCTCTCCGAGCTACAGACTTGATTTGCCTCTATTTTTTTTTTTTTTTTTTTTTTTTTGGCTCTGGTCCAAGATGTTTTCCTGTCATCATTTCACTGTCTTTTCCAGTAATCCCTTTTTTAAACATTGCCAACAATTAGTCGATTTATCTCCATCACCAACCACCACCTCCCACCCCCAGATCCACCGCACACACACACTCCACTGAGCCCCCATCACCGTCTTATTTTTTGCCTTGAAGTATAAGAAATTACAGCTTCTCATTAGCTGGAGAGCACGTTTGGAACGGCTTTGTGTTTACTCACTTAGTAAGTGATGCTGGCCTTTTTAATTATTCTCCCTCTGCGTGCCATCGGAGAGCAGCAAGCTGTTCAAGCCAAACCCAAGGACGGCACATCCTCCTCGGCGAGGCAGGTGGAAGGAATCACCGTGCGCTGCACCTCACCGCTGCTGCAGTTCTGCTTTGCCTGTCAGCGAGCCAAGGAATCCCCCCAAAGCTCTTACGTAGGAGATACCAAAACTGTGAGTCACTTTTCACTCCCAGAGCCAAGGAAGTCCACGGCCATCTGTGCGTCACAGCAGACCCAACATGGGGGTTTCCTCCAAGCCATCGAGATCCCCAGGACCAGACCGTCCGGCCCTGGCTTCCTTCTTCTTGCTGTTGCGCCCCTCTTTCTCTTCCACTCTGGCCCAACCCTTCGTTTTGAAGTCCTCTTCTCTCTTCTTCTCCCTCTCGGTGTTGCCGACAGCCGCAGACCCAGCAAGAGCTGGGTCCCTGTCGCCTTCTGTTATTTTATTTTATTTTATTTTTTTCCCCCTGCAGCAGCCTTTGGCTGCTACCTCTGCAAGCTGGATCACCAAAGACACACGACTCACTCACAATGAATAATCAATACGGATATTGATCTGGGGAAAATGTTTGTAAATTCCTGAAAGGGGATCAGGAGCAGGGGGCCAGGGAGGCTCGTGGGGGACGACGCTGCCCTGCTCATCGGCGGTCGGAAGCAGAACCGCCTTTGGATCCCCAAGTTGGGCTGGCTCCGAGGCGACCGGTGCCGGAATGCGTGCGGACGAGGGTGTGCGCGCGTTAGGAGGGTGTTCAGTATTCTCATTTCTCTACAGCTGCTTTCCCCGAAGAATCAAGAGCCAAATGGTCGGGAGCCCCCGTCAGCGCCATGTCTTGGCTGCGGGCCAGCGCTGTTTTGTTTTCATTATCACACGCTACTTTGCAATTTGCATAAATACAGGGTTATTTTTTATCGTGTCGCCCAAAAGATAGAAAAAAAAATAGAGTCTTTGTTGTGTGCAAGAGGGGCTTGCCGCCTACTCATCGAAGCTAAGGATTTACCTCCGAGGCAGGGCTTTGGGAGTCTATGTAGAGGGCTTCGGAAGAAATATGGGCAAAGAAGTGGTAATCACAGGGCAAAAAGAATACAGGAGAGAAAAAGTAGAATTTAATAAGAACTGCTGGGCACTCAGCTTGGTAAAAACAAATTTAGGGACCCATTTTCTCCTGCAGAGAAGACTTAAGCAACAATCCCTACCCAGTGTCCTGGTCAGCCGCAGTGCATGCATTCAACTGGAAGAAACCATTGATCCTTGGTGGGAAAGGTTTGTAAGATGAACACACACTTGCTCTATCCCAACCCCATCCAAAAGGTGGAACAAGTGGACACAAATGGAACGTTCCTGTCAGGGGCTCTGCCCTGCTGGTTTTCTGCCAGGGTGAGAGATTTCACACCTCGTCTTCTCCCTTACCTCCCCTTGGCATAAGTGGGTCACATGAGCTCCCCGCTCTGCATTTGCCCAAGTACCCTATGGGATTTGCATCCTTCCCTTAGCCTTCTGTCTTCAGGGGAGTGGGAGCAAGAATGTGATATAAGGTAAGTGACAAGCCACAGATGGCTTTCTCCTGCAAGCTGCTCTTGTCTGTGGAGAGGAGGCCTCGGAGTCCAGAGTGGCATCTGGCAAGCCCACATGTCCCAGGGAGCGGTATTTCACATTAGGAAAACTCTCCAGTCCTCTTGGCTGTTGATGGTGATCACCTTCCCCACCTTGGCCTGTGCTCCCTTCATCTCTCCCTACTCACTCTGTTTTTACAATTGGGCAATAAAAATCTCTTTGGGATCCCTCTCCCCTCTCTCCCATCGCCCTATCTATCTCCTCCTGGCCTTGTGACAGAAGGGATGTGTCACCTTTGAGATAGCCATCTAGAGTAAGACCTCCACATGAGGATTCAATTCCAACACCCCCTGGCCTGAAAGGAGCTGTCCGCTTTATCAGCCGGCAGCAGCAGCAGCAGCAGCTGCAGAAGCAGTGATCTTTTTTTTTTTTTTATTCCCTTTCTGGCTTCTGATTAGCTCCAGCAATCCAATTAACAGAGGAATTTATATCACACGGACTGAGGTGCCTCTACTCATCACCGCAGCTCAAACCCACTCATAAATTCTGCCGATACTACGTCTTCCTGTGACATGGATTAATTACAGCACCAGGCTTTCCCAAGTAGGTCTACCAGCAAAGGTATATATGAATATCAGAAATAAAGAGGCTAAAAGGGATGTTTTCTTGTGTATTATCAAGGATGAAGAAAGGCTGCCCAGGGAAGTCACTTTCGTCCTCCATCTCTGCATCCGCCTATTGTTCTCTGAGGTGTCAGAGGCCAGATGGGCCAGAATTAAGTAATTATGGAGAATTCAGAAGTGGTCTAGTCATGGCACACCCATGTATATTTTCACATCTTTGAAGCATTTAACTTGAAACTTCAGGGCCCTCAAGACCAACTAATTTCCTGCCTCCAGTCCATGCGCCCCCAAAATAGTTAAACGGTTTTAAGATCTCCATGAAGAGAAATGCCATTATCTTCATTGGTATTCCACTGCAGTTGGGTACAATCATGATATTGTTGCACCCTTTCATCTATCTACAATTTCATTCCAAATTTACCCTCACATTCATCAATCTCCAGCATCTATCCATCCATTCATCTAGCCATATTCATTTATATATCAACTATTTATTCTGCTTCCAGTCATCTATTCATCCATGTGCATCTCACTATCCATTTTCAAACCATATATTGATCTATGAATATCTTTCTATTATCTGTCATCTACTTGTCTATCCATTTGTGTCTCTATTAATTCATTCATCTGTATTATCCATCTGTTTTTCTGTCTATTCATTAATCTATTCATGTATCTATCCATTCAATCATCTGTCATTTGCTTACCAGTTACCAATCCCTTTTTATTTTGTGCCTTTAGTGAACTATGATCTCAACAGAACTCCAAATTCACATTCTCAATCCATTTTTTTAAGATAAATAATGCCCAATTTCCAAATGAACTCTGTAAATGCGAAATACTTGGCTATTTGTTCTCTGGTTTAAAAGACTAAAGAGTGAGGTCAGTAACAGCATACAATTTTAAATGAGTTCAAAAATTACAAGGAAAATATTTTATCCTCAATTCCTGGAGCTCTTTCCTTGCTTAATAAAAGTATACATTGCTGTTCCTCTTTAAACCATGCCTTTAGACAGGGGGAAATTTAGATAATGTCTACACATGAATCTCATTCAGTCTGTTATATCTACCACTGAAAAGACTTCATGCAAATGACTTAGTTCAACCAGTACTAATTTGAGATTACTTTTATCATAAAGCAAAACAGATATCAACCCTAAAATGGGATTGTGGTTATACACATTTGGATTTCCCCTATATCCAGGAAAGGAATTGAGGAGCAATGTGGGGACTAAAAATAGATTTTGCCCCATTATCTTTACTCAAAATATATTCAAGTCTGGGCCAAAGCTTGAGATTCAGTACCTTCTGAGAGTGATCTCTCGTTTTCTTTTTAGCTGCCAAGAAAATAGGTCAAGGAAAGCACTGCTGGCTTGAGGAAAGAGTTGAATGAATGAATCTCACTTTCTGTTTAAGACAGAAACCCCGGCTGCTCCCTGTGAGGGAGGAGGATGAGCTTGTATGGCTGGGCTTCTCCTGCATGTGCAGGGAATCATTTCCCAAACAGCAACCGAGTCTGAATCCTAATTGAGCAGCAGATCTTGTATCTGTCAACACTCACCATCTCTAATATTCTGTTAGTTTGTAGGTGGTATTATCAGCTGAGCATCCAAGTTTGTTAACAAAAAAGATTTAGAAGTACAGTCAGCCTTCTTTATTGAAGGGTTCCCTATCCATGGATTCAACCAACAACGGATCAGAAATGTCCCCTTTGCAAAAAATTTCATCTATACTGAACGGGGACAGACTGTTGGTCGTTGTTCTCTAAATAATACAGTGTCACTAGTATTTATACAGCTTTCACATTGAATTAGGTATTTTAAATAACCTAGAGATGATTTAAAGTCTACAAGAGTATTCATGGAAGTTATATGCAAAGAACTACATCATTATACATAAGCAACTTGAGCATCCTCCGATTTTGGTATCCAGGCAGGTCCCAGAACAAAGACCCTGTGGATACCCAGGGAAGACTGTGTATTGAAGACCAGTTTAGATCTGGAGTTGTAATCCCAGAAGAGCATGAAGGGATCCAGGCCATGTTGTCCTCCAGAAATATAAAGGAGACAGAAACCCTCTGGTTCCTTTTCTTGTGTTATTTCCATTCATGGTTTTCTGGATTCTGTTGTAATAGAAAATCAGACTCTAGCTCTGACTTTGCTCATCATGCTAACCAGGGTTGAATTCTCCAGTAGGGACAGTAGACTTGATACCTAGGGCCCTACCACTGTTAGTGGCCCAGGAAAATTCTTCAATTTCTTTTAAACTCATTTTTTAAAAACAAATTTTTAAGGTCAAAGAAAATATTTAAACATAGAAGAGTAACACTGCTATTAAATAGCATTCACATTCACCTTTATACTAATTTTTATAAAATATGTCTCAATCATTTTCTTAGGAAGGAAGAGGTCCTTTTGGGAAAAAGCACAGAGGGCCCATGAAAGGCATTTATAATGTGACTCTTGTCATTAATCAGACTACCTATAACTTAATGGTTAGGCTCAAAAGACTGTAGTGGTTAGGGATCTTTTCAGGAGCCAGACTGCCTGGGTTCAAATCCCTAATGCTACTACTTGCCTATCACCAAACTTCTCTGATTCTCACTTTCTTTAGCTGTAAACTATAGAAGATAATAGTGACTAATGCACATAGATGTTATGAAATTATATGAATAAATTTCTCAACACAGAGCCTATACACAAAGAGTGCTTGATAAAATTTTGTTTTATTAATTGTTACGGTTTTAGCTTTGGTGTCTTGTGATGCCTACTTCTCTGTAACCCAGTATCATGCCTAAATTGATTATTTTCATTTAAAAGAAAAATGTTAGAATATCTTCTAGCCACCATGGAAGGAAGGGTAGCAATTGAAGTTTCCTCCTTACTCTGGAAGTCAGAAAATTTCCTCTCCTAGAAGCAGTAAATTTTGTACTTTCTACTTGGAGCTCAGTCTTTATTCCATATTATAAAACCCCTTTAATAAATCAGCATCATCTCTCCTGATCGGAGATTTGATTCTTTCCTAACCTAAAACAATCCTTGCAAAAATCTTATTAAGAACCACAGGTTAAAAAGGATATTGTCAAAACTTTCTCTCTCCTTTTCTCTCTTTACTTTATTATCTCCTCATTTTTTTTGTCATTTAACTCCAATTATGAGATGCTAAGTGCTTTTGGAAATTTCATTGTTAATATCTTCTTACAGTGCTATTAACGTAAATCAAGTTTAATAGTGTCCCAGCAAGTGTAAAAGCAATCAAAAATTCAGTACTCACGAATCATTCTGTAATTTCAGCATAAAATGTTAATAGAAATAATATCTAATACCATAAAATATCAGTAAATCCAACTTTAAATATAGGTGATGAATTACTTCACTATCCTATAGCATTTGTGGAATATTCTGGTGTGAAGTACTTAATTGGCTGAGCCATACCTCAGTCATGCCCAGACTGCCAGAAGTCCCCTCCTCTGCCTCAATCCAACCGGCCAATCACAGCAGAATGAATCACTAATGAAAGGCATTTCTTCACATTTCTTCATCCCAAACACTCTGAGTTACTCGGCAATCAAGAAAAATGACTGAGGATCAAGAAGTGCAGTCGACCTAAAGG